AAAATCTTTTTAATATAATTTTAATTTCTAACGATACTAATTTTGAATTTTACATCATAAATAATTTTTCATAAATAATTTTTAAATTTATTTTTTAATTAACATTGATAAGATATACAATTTAATTATATATATTATATTACATTATATTATATATGTATATGTGGTTTATATATTTGAAGGAAATCATTTACAATTAGTCAAGAAATCTTGTTATTCAAAAAATTCAAAAAATAACTACTATAATAAAATCTAATAAATTATTTTATATAAAAAATTAAATGATTTAAATAGATTATGATAAACAGTATTTTCCTACTTGTATATATATCCTATGTAATTTATTTTCTTAAAATTTGCAACAGAATTTGCGACGGAAACAAATTCCGTTGCTAATTTCTGACGGAATTGCGACGGAATTTCCATCGCTAATTTTTTTGACGGATTAGCAACGGAATTTCTGATAGAAAAATATTCCGTCGCTAATTCCGTCGCTAAATACGGATTAGCAACAGACAAAAATTCCGTCGCTAATCCGTCAAAAAAATTAGCGACGGAATTTCCGTCGCAAATTCTGTTGCTAATTTGCGACGGAACAAATTCCGTCGCAATTCCGTCCCTAATTTGCAGCGGAATTTGTTTCCGTGTCGCAAATTTTAAAACACCCAACTCCATATATCTATATATAGTACTTTAGATTTTAGAAAGTGCGGGAACTTAGAAGCTGAATTATCACTTGCATACTGCATAAGTACAACTTTGAAATCATAGATATTGAAATCCAGCTCATGTACTCAAGTGTTACCTACTCATACAAGCTTTATCCCACTAATTATGCCTACAACAAAGTTTTTTATTGCCTTTGCTCAATGATGACACAATGCAGTAAGTAAAAATCTTCTGGACAGTAAGGTAATACTGACCATCAGATCAATTGCATATGCACATTTGTAGATCATGCAAGTCTCCTCCACTTTCCTGCTACAATAAAAGTTGTACAGATATTAAGGAACAAAGCATGGCATGAGGAACAACCTTAAAATTAAGTTACCCAAATCAATATTCATATTAGTCAGTGTGGATGCCATTAAATTTTGAGTACACCACGTTGCAACTAAGTAACTTATAGCCTACTTTCTCTGCCTACTTGCCATGTATACGTTGAATTGTTGATTCATCAAATTCCATTATTTAGCACTTCAATTTGCTTCATTTCATATACATGTGTCTCTGTGTATATTAGTGTAATCCATCATTTATCTGGTGGATTCAAATCATCTATCTCTGATTGCTAGCACAATGATCAATGGTAACTTACCTGAAAACACGCATCCATTTGTAGAGTATGACCCATAATGATTACCATGCCTTCGCACTACTCAATATTATGATAAAATCAGAAGGACTAACAGAAAAACACCGAGTAACTAAATCAGCTAGAGTCTTTTATGATAGTTAGTAATTTACAGTGGTTAGGGCTTCATTGTTCCATATACGCACAAACACAATTTTACATGTCTTGTTGAACCAAAGAAGTTGTAAAATAACTTTCATGACCACTAAATTTGATATGAAAAATTATAAGATAAATAACTAAGTTATTTTATGAAGTCTATATCCAACGTTCGACATAACATGTCTCCAATTAATAAGGAGATATATAATGATACAACATCAATAAATATAAGTAATGATTTCCTTCATATAATGCAATATATTCAGTTGTCGTATATAATATTTAATAAAATAATCTCATCAGATATTAAGTCTCCTAATTTTACTAAGTCCACCCTCGCTCACCTAATTTTACTGTTGGACAGCACTGAGTAATATGATCATAACATATTACATGAGCTATGATAGTAACAATTGCGTTTGATTATATCACAACTATAATTATAAAGACCTGAAGAGGATATGGATATTTTTGCTTCGATTATATTGAAATATAAAATATGATAAATATTCAAATAATCAGTTACTGGCTATTTTCTATACAACTTCACTTTTTTAATGTGACAATCACCAAACTTGCTCTTACAGTGAATGAGTTCTGTATAAATTTGAAGTTATTCTTGTGGTGAACGAGTTTTGGCTTAGCATCTTCAATAATACTTTTCACCATGTGGCATTTGGGTATTTATTTTTACTGTTTATGGGATACAGGTAAAACAACCCTTCGTCCTTTGTCTTCATCTCCGCCTCCCACCGTCACTTCTCTCATTGTCCTCATCTTTGTCGCTGCCTTTCACCATCAAGAAAATCAAACGCAACCTCCTCTTCTTCTGACAATCATCTTGAACTCCTTCCTTGGCTGGACCCTTCGAATTTCTTGCCATCCTGCTTTAGTAATTCCTCCTTTACATCATTTTTAGTTATATCTGTCCACTGGACTGACAGCAAGGGATATCAACCATAGGAGAAAAGAAAAGGTAATGTTAATTATTGCGCCATGTGTGCCCTTCTAAGTTACAAATATTGTATAGCTAATTGCCTTTATCTACAGGAATTCCCACGCTTGAGAAGCTTGAATCTTAGTGGCTCCAAAGATTTAACTAAGATACCAGGTTTTAGAGCATTTCCAGGTCTTGAGAGGCTAGATCTCAAAGGACATACTAAATTATCACAGCTTCAGTCGTCTGTTGCTTATCTGTTCGGGCTCAAATTCCTGAATTTGAGAAATTGTACTAATCTCTTCAGTACGGCCCAATCTCTTATTTTCCCTACCCTTCTTAGAAACTCGAAATATGGCTTGTTGCTCCAAATTTGCTTATTGTTTGTCCTTTGCTCCTTTTGAGGAGATTGGCGGAAAATTGGAAGAAGAAACCATTCAGCAATCATTTTCTAGGAAGAGACAGAAGCTATATATGTAGACAAAAATTTACTTGATAGTTTCTTGGCACCCAGCATCATTTATTGATCCGTTTTGTTTTATCATGCTTCTCTTCTCTCTCTTAGTTTCTTACCTCCTTTCATATTTGTTTCTATATTAATACTCTATTAGCACATTTGCAATCAACTTATATACGGTATCAAAAACATTGTTTTGGCCAAAGCAACAAAAGAGAAAAGATTTATTTCCACCAGAATCACGTTTTGATGACAAGGACCTATTACCAAATATGCTAATATAAACTTTTTGATTAATTTATTGTTGAAGATGTTAAGATAAGCATCTTCTTCGATGCCTGTGCACAAAGGCAGAGGGAGCACTACAGGGGGAAAAAAAATAACTTTAGTAATACATATTTGGTAGTTTTTGTTAGAGAATCACTATTGAAAGTGATACAACTATGAAAGGAACCGTTTTGAACAATAAAGTGCTACATCTTGTTACTATTTTTTTAATTATTTTTAAGTTATTTTTTAACAAGTGGAAGTGTTTCAAATCTCAAATAATACTTATCTTTGTGTTAAAAAAAATATCCGGGAGTGGAGAAGTACTGCCCTGACTCAACTAAGGAGAATTCCTAATCGTCAAATAATGGAAGTTCTCAAGAAAAGTTTTGATGAATTTGATCATATGGGCAAGGAAATATCTTTAGATATAACATGTTTCGTGAACAATTATGGCTAATCATCTCTGCTCACCCACACTAGTTATTTCATTTTCAGATGCACCCTAACTTGCAAGTATTGAATCTTTATGGCTCTGAATTTGGTTACGATGCAACATTCTGTTGAGGTTCCAAATCTTGAAAGTTTAGATTCCGGATTATTGCAACTTCATCCATCTACTGCTGAAGTATCAAAGCTCGATCCCTTAAATTTGTTTTGTCTAAGCAACTCGGAGATTCTAAAACTGACTTGCTTCTCAAAACTTGATCATTGTTTGAATTTTTCCCCTTCTGAAGAGCTTGATAAAAATGAAGTTACTCATCAGCAACCATTTTCTTGCAGGAGACAGAAATTATGTAGACAAAAATCTATTTAAGTCCTTTGGTGTTCGGGAATGCCATATCATTTTCCAATCATGTTTGTTTCTCATACCGCATTTTCTCTTCCTCTGCTTCTATCTCTTTCCTTCTAAACTCTCTGTTTGTGTTTGTCCCTGTTTGGTTTGTTTATTGACCCAAATCCCTTTGTATATTCAAGTAATATTCTCAAGCCGAAAAATCCACTTAGTACTACCTAATCAACCTGATGCAACTCTTATCTGCATTGACTATTTTAATTTTTCTTATATTGCAGAGGTTGGTCTTGCTAATCCTCGCTTTCGTTCCAAGCCACAACACTCTGCTTTGCTCTGTTTCCCTCCGATTCACCCATTGGCCAATGTCAATATTTTTCCTGCCCGAAAGTGATTATTTTTGGCCAGCCACATGCATTATCCATGCTTATTTGCTTTACACATATCTTATGCAATAAAATAAATATCATGTCATTGTTGACCCCTCACTTTTTCTTTTGCCGGAAAAAAAAAAAAAGAAACTTAAATGAAACCAGGCCAAGATGTGGAGATGATGAGAAGAACGAAACAGGGGAATCACTTCCACCTCTCGCCTTCCGAAATTTGATTCATCCTCTTACAAGTTAGAAACAAATTTGATTCATATGAAGCTTCTGAAATTGGAGATTTTTATTATTTATGGGCAAAATTTTCAATTTTTTATTCCGTGGAAATTGAAATTAAACTTCTGATTGAAAAATCACTTGTGGTAGTTCTAGATCATTAATTACAATATCTCATTAAACTTAAGTGCAAGCAGTAATGTAAGGTATGGACGAGATTGTTGTTGGGTCAAGAAGGAGTTGACAGCCATAAATGAGAGGCAGGGGGGATGCAAAAGCCATACACTTGCGTGGAAATTAGAAAGCCCTATTCATATCTCTTTCAGGGCAAGTTCCAAGAAATTTCCACATTAAAAATCCTCCCTTGCTTTCATTTTATTGTTCTCTTTCATCTGCAGACCCAACAAGAGATGTTCAGAAGCTCAGAGAGAAACATCGAGTCCACTGAGAAAGGCAGTTGATGATCAAGGCTAAAAGGTCATAGACACATGGAAAGCTTCATCAATGGATCATCATCAAGGCCGATCCATGTTTATATAAGTTTCAGAGGAGATAATGAAACTTGCAAGTTCACAGATAGGCTCTGGGCCGCTCTTGAAACTGACGATTTAAACACATTTTGGGATGACAAGAAGCTTGAGCTGGGTGATTCCATCTTTCTTCCCCGTCATTTCCTTAAACCAATTCGACAATCCAACATTTCTATTGTTGTCTTCTCCAAAAAGTATGCTTCATCCATATGGTGCCTTGAGGAGCTCTCAGAGATTGCTGCACGCATTCATGAACCACGATATACTGCTTTCCCAATTTTCTATGATGTCCATCCATCTGAGGTTCAAAACCAGAGTAACTCTTTTGAAACAGCTTTTGCTGAACATGAACAAAGGCTCACGGCAAATTTACGCAAGCTACACAATTGGAGGTCAGCAATGAAACAAGTGGCCGATCTCTTTGGTTGGTGTGTACCGCTAGAGTAAGTCATTAGTTTTTCCAAAATTTGGGAGTCTCAATAAGCAAATTATACTGAGATCTTCATGAAGCAACTGTTTATCAATTGGTGTTTTAATTTTGTTTTTCCTTTATGCAGGCCAGAGCCGCAAGTTATTGATGACATCATCAGGGAGGTCAAGAGAAAAATGCGTGAACTATTTTATGCTGATGTAGATCTAGTAGGGATGCAATCTCGAGTGAGAGAAGTAGAAGAACTTCTGGATTTGGGTTCAAAAGATGACACTAGAGTTGTGGGCATCTGTGGTATGGGTGGAGTAGGGAAGTCAACTCTTGCGAGAGTTCTTCATGACAGGATCTCTCATCATTTTGATGCTTCTTATTTGGTACTCAATGCCTTTGAGTTCGATAAGGCATTAATGCTAAGAAATCCCAAGAGAACTCTCATAGTTCTCGATTGTGTTAATATTCATATTATTTTAGGATTGGTTACTTCTGTAAGAGAAAACCAGTTAGTTGGAGGGAGTAGAATCATCATAACAACTAGAGATGAAGGAGTGCTTGGAATGTTTATGAAGTGTTATATTTATAGGGTTAAACTACTGACCAAGAACGAAGCTCTTCTATTATTTTGTAGAAACGCTTTCAAATGTGATTTTCCAATGAGAGGTTATGAGGAGCAAATAAATAGTGTGCTCCAATATGCTAATGGCCTTCCATTAGCAATTGTGGTAATGGGCTCGTTGTTATATAATACAAGAGTCTCAGAATGGAGATCTGCTTTGGTTGCTATCAAAAAGGCTGCTCTCCGTATTATCATGAATGTCCTCATAAAAAGTTTTGATGATCTGAATTTTGACGCCAAGCAGATGTTTCTAGACATTGCATGCTTTTTCACTGGGAAAGAGATTAAATTTGTGGAAGGAATTTTGGACAGTACTCAGCCAGTTTTATCTAGTTATGGCCATCGAGGGAAGTACTGTATGCAAATTTTGATCGAGAAGTCACTCATGACCATTATAGATCAAAAGGTACACATGCATGGTTTAGTGCAAGAAATGGGACGAGAAATTGTTCGGCATAGATTCCCTGGTAAGCCAGAAACGTGGAGCAGATTATGGGATTTTGATGATATTTATGATGTTACGCAAAGTGGCAGAGTAAGTTGTTATAAAATTTTTTTGTTTGGTTGAAACATTAATAAATAATGTACTAGAATTGAAGTAGTCTCATTTTGCATCATTTTTATACAAATGTGTTTATTATTAGCAGGCTAACTATAAAGTTGAAGCAATAGTCTTGGAGTTAGAAAATTCACATGGGAGTACATTGAGAGTTGAAGGTTTATCAACGATGCTCAATCTCAGACTACTCATATTTCGTAACGTGAAATTTTCTGGAGTTTTAAGGAGTCTTACAAGCAAGCTCCAATATATTTCATGGCACCAATATCCTTTCACATCATTACCATCAACTTTTGATCCATGTTTCCTAAGGGAATTGATTTTGACTGATAGCTGCATCAGATGCATATGGAATAATGCAAAAAAGGTACCTAATATTTATGGGCTAGTGTATGTGTGTAAAGTTTTCCATAAAAAACTTTAACCTTCGTTCTTGCATCATTTTCAGTTTTCGCCATATCAGCGATTCCCTTACTTGAGAAACTTGAATCTCGGTGGTTCCAAAGATTTAACCAAGATGCCAGATTTCCAAAATTCTTTCCCAAGTCTTGAGAGGTTGGATCTTGAAGGATGCGTTAAATTATCAAAGCTTGATGCGTCTATAGGTTATCTTTCAACGCTCAAATTCTTAAATTTGAGAAATTGTGTTAATCTTTTTAGTATTCCTAATCGCTTGTTCTCTTTACCCTCTTTAGAAGTTATAAATTTAGCTTGTTGCTCTACATTTGCGTATTGTTTGAAGTTTTGTCCTCCTGAGGAGCTTAGTGAAGGAGAAACTATTGAGCAATCGCTTTCATGGAAGAGACGGAAGCTACGTTAGAGAAGAAGTTATATAAGTGTATTTAGTATTGAGTAATACCATATCATTTATTAATCGTTAATTTATTCTTTTGTCTTTGGTATTGAGATTTAAAATTTTTAATATGTAGTTTTTTCAATGATAAACTTATTTTTTAAGAAAGTGTTAGTTATAAAATTATATTTATTTTGAATTCTATATCTATTAAAATAAAATATTAATTAAATATATAGAAATTTAAATTTAAATTTGGACCATCCAAGATAAATCTGGATGGTCCAAATTAAGATGAGCACTCCATATTCAAGCATGGAATGTACTCCCAAAAAAACACAGCTAGGTGGCGATTTAATGGAAATAAATTCTCTATTATTGCAAGCATTTCTTAGAAACAACAAATACAAGGCAGAAGGAATTAACAAATCTCTTATAGAATCTAGGTGGCGATTGACTCAACTGACACTCAGCACTTTCGTTGTATGATTATTCTTTCATTGCTGAGTTGCCTGATTCAACAGGAAATCTTAAATGTCTGCATTATTTGGACTTATAAGGGGCTAAAAGAAAGAAATTGCCGGATTCAATAAGTCAACTTTATCATTTACAAACATATTAAAGTTGTGGAAATGTTATGATTTAGAAAAGTTGCCCACTGATTTGCCTAAACTCATGAATCTGCGTCTATTTTGATTTTCGTCAAACCCTGAAAAGTTGTTCAAATTCCTGGACGCTTCATAGAAATCTTATCATCAGTTGAAAAAATTGAGCATATAACTAACTACCAATTCCTGCCTTGAACAGTTGAACTTTTCGGATTGAACCACTGTCGATAACTTCATTATTAATTAAAAGGGAGATAGAAGAAAAATGTGAGTCTCTCAAGTCTTCTACTCCACTACAGATTTATTCCCTAAGCTTCAGTTATTAATGTTGTACTTCTCTGGTTTTTAATACATGACCTAATCATTAAGTTGATTTTGATCTTAAATATAAAACCTATTTATCATATTTATCATGAAAACTCCCTCAACCATAATCAAGTAGAAGAGGGAAAATGGATATTAAGATATAGATGATTATAGTATTTTAGAAAAAACATATTATATTCTTATAATTAACTAACTTACTTAACTTTCTTAATCTAATCAAATTAGTTAAATATATCTTATATTAAAAACCGAAGGGGTACGTCTATAGCAATAATCTTTTAAATGATACAACGTCCGGTCCTTAATAGAAGAGTTCAATAACTAATTTATTAATATTAAGAAAATTAGTTAAATTAGTTATTTGTAATAAATAAGTATTGCCTTTACTAAAGTATTCTTGTTAGTCATCTCCGGTAGAATGAAAACTATCTAATACATGTAATCACTATAGGAACTATTTTGAGGAAAAACAAATAAACATGAGAGACAAATTTAAATTGATTGTGATATTATATTTAGAAACAAATTGAATTTCTATCTAGTTCTTATATTTAGAACCGGATATAGTCTTTGTTTTAGTAGAGGACACCATCACTCTGTGACACAATTGGATGATGAGTCTCTTCCTGATGCCGGACTGTTGCCCCCGACTCTCACTTCCCTTGCCTTCTCTAGCTGTTCACATCTGGGGAGGCTGGAACACAAAGTTCTTTGCCTCTTGTCCAATAATCTGAACTGCTTTGAAACCTCATGATTGTCTTAAACTTTGGATGTGTTTGGATGAAACAAACCGTGGTTTGGAAAAGTGATTCTGGAGAATAGATTCTGGAAAGAATAGATTTTATGAAAAAGTGATTTTGAGAAGTGAGAGTGTTTTGATAGTTGTTATCAGAAGCACTTTTTATATATACCAATTACTAAAAAAAAGACATAAGTTAATATGATAATTACAGAAAAAATAGATTTTATGATATATTTTAATTTGAAGGAATAAAATTGTTAATAATATATTTTTTATTAACATAATTAATAATACATAAGATAATATAATTAATAAATAATTAATATGTATATATATTTATAAAATATAAGATTAAATATATTTATAAAAAAATAACAAGATACATATCTTATAGGCTTTCACACTCTCCCTTTTTTCTCCAAAAGCAAAAAAATTTTGCTTTTTCCAAAACCATGGTTTTGGTTTTTGGGTGGGTGTTTGGGTGATTTATTCCCCAAACCATAGTTTGGGTCGAGTGTCACCCAAACACAGCCTTCAATACTTTCCCAAACGCAGTTCCAAAAGGAGAGCAGAGGCAAAGATTGGGCAAATATTTCTCAGATTGATGGTGATAGGCCAAGGTCACACTGATGTGATCATAGACCCTCGGGTTAGAAAGAAATTTCTCACTTGCTGACTTGTTTAATGGGCATTACTATGCTTATAGGTTACTCTTCTTATCCTAAACATAAGACTCATTTTACAAAGTAAATTACACTATAAAGTGGGTTTTATATTTAAAATCGAAAGAGTACAATTAGGACGTGTTTGGTATGAAGGATTTGGAGTGGAGGGGAGGGGAGGGGGGAAATAATTTTAATTATTTTTTCCTGATTGATAACACACAAATTTTAGGGAGGAGGAAAATTTTTTAAAAATTTTCCTTCCCCTCCCCTCCAAAATTGAGAGGATTTGGAGGGAAAGGGCAATATTTTACCATATTGTGACTATTATATCCATATTTTGTTATATGATAACTATTATGCCCATATCTTAAATAAAATGAGGGCAAAATGTTCATGTTAAAATATTTTTCCTTTCCTTTTCCTTATGAACCAAACAAGGTATTACTCCTCCGGTCCTTAATATAGGACTCAATTTTTGAGTTGGTTTTGGTCCTAAATATAAGACCCATTTTCCATATTTATCAATTTTCTCTAAATTACCCCTATGGATACTCCCTCAACCATAATCAAGTAGAAGAGGGAGAGAGGGTATTAAGAAAGATGATTATGGTGTTTTAGGAAAAATGTGTCACTTTTCTTATAATTAACTAACTTACCTAACTTCCTTAATCTAATCAAATTAGTTAAATGGGTCTTATATTAAGGACTGGAGGAGTATTAAAATTCCTCCCCTTCCCTCCCGTTTTATAAATCCAAACAGGGTAATATTAAAAGCCTTCCACTCCCATCTCCTCCATTAAAATCCCTCTCCTCTCTTTTTTCTTATTGAACCAAACAGAACCTTAATTATTTTTACCATACGGTTTTACTATGACCATTGTATTTAGAAATGGGCGAAACGGGTCCAAGTAGCAGACACAAAGGAAACAAGCGAGTTCGGATCATGTTCAACAATTTAACATGATTTGAGAACAAAATTAAAAATCAAAATCAAAATCATTATTATACCATATAATATAAATTTTACAAACCATTTTATTTAACATTTATTATTGTAGTTATTGTATATATTCTCTTCGCTTTTTATTATACGACAAATTATAGGAAAAAATAAGTTATAGGAAAAATATCAAAATTAAAAAAATTCTAAATCAGAATTTTCATAAAAATATGCTGTTATTTGTAAGTTAATTATTATCAAAACCTGTTAAAATTTTGTAACTAATCCTAATTTGAGATTTTGTATTTTCCACTATTTTTATTTGTCATTATCCCTAAGTTATACAGTGAAATACCAATTATATTTTCTTAAAATTGTTCCTATTCAGGAGAATATAATTAAAATTTCTTTTTCTTCTCCAGCAGAATATAATTAACATTTCTAAATGAATAGATTTAATTTTTTAAAATAAGATTATTCATTTATTACTTTTCTTTAAAAAAATACTTTATAATAAGAAAGGGGCATGGTACCTAGGATCCGGCCTCTTCGTATACTTTGGCTTTGGGTTTGACCTCCCGATGGAAGCCGGGTGTAGTCCCCGTTAAACGACCTCGTATTGAAGCCTCCAAATTTTCCCGCCCTTTTTTGTTTTTTCATTTCTGGCTCAGCTTGGAACGCCGGCTACGTCAAATTCAAAAAATTGAAAATCTATCCTCTTCTTCACTCGCTGCACAGCAACTCGCAAAAGCTAAGCGCCCGTTCCGTTTAGGGTTTCGATCTCCGAAATCCTTTCGCTTCTTCCATATATTCATTGAGATACCTCCAAGCCCAGGGTTCATAATTTCTGCTTTTTCCCTTTTGTATAAAATTTTCACCATTTTTCTGTAGGACTTATTTTTATTTTTCTTTCCTGCTACAACTCGCGGGTCAAGAGATGTACATCAAGGAAATTTGCTTGGAAGGCTTCAAATCGTATGCTACCAGAACTGTTGTTCCAGGTTTCGATCCCTACTTCAATGCCATCACGGGGTTGAACGGTTCCGGCAAGTCGAACATACTTGATTCGATTTGCTTTGTACTTGGGATCACGAATTTGCAGCAGGTGCGGGCTTCTAACCTTCAGGAGCTCGTGTATAAGCAAGGACAGGCAGGAATTACAAAAGCTACAGTGTCGATTGTGTTTGATAATGCGGACAGGAGTCGGAGCCCTCTTGGGTATGAAGACCATCCAGAGATTACAGTGACAAGACAGGTTTCTTTCTTTATTTTTAAGCCTGCCCCCTGATTCTGTTTGTTGATTTTTGTTTCGCTGCTTATAATGCTGTAAAAGGTGTTAGTTTGCCTTGTCTAGGCAGTGCAACGCGCCAATATCTTTGGCACAGTGATATTAAAAGGATCTGTTTTAGAATCACAGTTCGAACATGATGGTAGTTATTTGATTTGTTATTACATATTTAGCTAGCAATTTGCTGACTTCTCATTTGTACCCCATGGATGCGTTTGGGGGACGATGCCAGATTGTGGTTGGAGGAAGGAACAAATATCTGATCAATGGGAAGCTTGCCCAGCCTAGTCAAGTTCAAAACCTTTTTCATTCAGTGCAGCTGAATGTTAATAATCCACATTTTCTCATAATGCAAGGGCGCATCACCAAGGTTTTAAATATGAAACCACCAGAGATATTGTCGATGCTTGAGGAGGCCGCAGGGACAAGAATGTATGAGACGAAGAAAGAGGCTGCACTTAAAACACTTGAGAAAAAGCAGAGTAAGGTTGATGAGATTAATAAGCTTCTTGACCAGGAGATACTACCTGCCTTAGAGAAGTTAAGGAAAGAAAGGACACAGTACATGCAATGGGCTAATGGCACTGCCGAGTTAGATAAGCTGAGAAGGTTTTGTGTTGCTTACGAATATGTTCAAGCAGAGAGGATCAGAGACACTGCAGTGTTTGAGGTGGAACAAGTGAAGGCCAAGATAGCTGAGATTGATGACTCTACTAAGACCACAAAAGTGGAAGTACAGGCAATGGAGGCTAAAATGGCAAGGCTGGCAGCAGAAAAGGAAGAACGCATGGGTGGGGAAGTGAAATCTTTGTCAGACAAAGTAGATGCACTTTCACAGAATCTCGTGAGGGAGACATCTATACTAAATAATAAAGAGGACACTCTGAGAAGTGAAAAATCCAATGAAGAAAATGTAAGTTAGATTTGGCTTTATCCTTTAAACTATTTGATACATTTCCTGCTGGCCTCGATTTCAAGATGTTGTTAATTTTAATGCTGTTCTGTTTTATAATTTGCCATTTGGAAAACTTAACAATGACCTCACTTGATAATTGTTATTGTACAATGACCTCACTTGATAATTGTTATTGTGATGTTTTAAGATTGTTAATAATATTGAAGACTTGAGGCAATCTGTTGAAGAGAAGGCCTTAGCTGTCAAAAAGGCTGAAGAGGGGGCTGCTGATCTGAAGAGGAGAGTTGACGAACTTTCTAAGAGTTTGGAGGACCATGAAAAGGAATACCAGGTAAAAAGATGATTATATTGGCATAATTTGTTGTCTAGCAAGAGTCGTCAATTCAGGACTTTGATCCTCATCCTTGAAACTATTGACAGGGTGTATTAGCTGGGAAGAGCAGCGGAAATGAGGAGAAATGCTTAGAGGATCAGCTAGCTGATGCAAAGATAGCAGTTGGGAATGCTGAAACAGAAGTGAAACAAGTAAAAACTAAAATTAGTCACTGTGAAACAGAACTGAAAGAGAAAACACATCAATTAAGGTCAAAACAGGAAGAAGCTACTGCTGTAGAAAATGAGCTAAGTGCTAGAAAGAAAGATGTGGAGACTGTGAAGATGCAATTGGGGTCATTTAGTTATAAAGATGGCGAGATGGAATCTTTGCAGAAGGTTAGGCAGGCATCTCTCCTAATTTCTTTACCATTCAAATATTTTCTAATTTTTCATTTAAATAAATATATACGTTAAACAAACTTAAGGAGCGCGCATCTGAGATGGAGTCAGTGCAAAAGTGGAAGGATGAAATACGCAAGCTTTCAGCACAATTAGCAAATGTTGAGTTTACATACCGTGACCCAGTCAAAAACTTTGATAGGTCAAAGGTCAAAGGTGTGGTTGCGAGACTCATCAAAGTAAAGGACAGGGCTGCAATGACCGCCTTGGAGGTTAGACAACTTGGTATCTTTATGCCCACGTTTTAAGTGGAAAACTATATATATTGACCCTTTTGATTGAATCTTTTTTAGGTGACTGCTGGTGGAAAGTTGTTCAATGTTGTGGTTGACACAGAAAATACTGGAAAACAGCTACTGCAGAATGGTGATTTAAGAAGAAGAGTGACAATTATACCTTTAAACAAAATTCAATCTCATACTGTTCACTCTAGAATCCAACAAGCTGCTTCTAGATTGGTTAGTCACAGCATTTCTTTTCCTTTTGGTGCATCTTGGTTTCATGATTGTTTAACCATTTTTTGCTGAAAATTATTGTTACTTTAATTTAAGGTTGGTGAGGACAATGCCGAGTTGGCACTTTCTTTGGTTGGTTATGAAGAAGAATTGAAGGTATGCTTCTTTGAATTCATATAGTATCCTGGTCAAGTGAAACATCGGTCCTAAAAGCTACTCTCATTGTCATTTCAAGTTATTTTTCTTGATCTTTTCGTCAAGTTTTATTTTATTGCATCTGATTAGCTGTCAAAACTTATATAGATTATTCGTTTTTTTTTTACACCTTATATTAATATTAATTATTACTGTTCTTTTTAATGGCATTTGTTACAGAATGCGATGGAATATGTATTTGGTTCTACCTTCGTTTGCAAAAATACTGATGCTGCTAAGGAGGTAATGATCATGTTTGCCACTGTGATTATCATGAGCGGCATACATTCTGGTCGTAATACTTGACTGTTGTCTGTTTCTTATATACGTTGGATTTTAGACATTCATAATCTTGGTTCTTTCTTTGCACTCTATTATGGATTATTTATTCATGACAACTTGATTATTTGTTCTTATCAATGAGCATTGAGCAACTGTTTTCCCTATTATTACTGATGGTTATTATTTTAAAAAGGTGCTCAGTATTATCCATGTGACCTTTTCTAACCCACCTATAGAGTTGCTCAGTTTTCCTTGTGCTTCGTTGATCTTATACTAGGTGGCATTTAATCGGGAGATTCGAACCCCCAGTGTCACTCTTGAAGGAGACATATTTCAGCCAAGTGGTCTTTTGACCGGTGGAAGCCGAAAGTATGGCACTGCCTTGTTTTCATTGATTTATGTCTGGATTTTGCAGTAGTATCTTATTGACTTATTATACTTTCAATGAGAGCTTCATAATGGAAATCAGATAACATTTGACGCATTTGCAAAATTTTGTATTTTCTCCATGATTTCTGTTTTCCACAATACAAGTGAGGCGATCAGTCAATTAGCATTTGAATGCTTGCATCTGTATATCTTCTATCATTTCTAGATAGTGCTAGGTAACTAGGTAATTTAGCTTCACATTGTAGGCTAGTCAATCAGCATCTCAATGCTTGCATCTGAACATCTTTTACCATTTTTATATACTAATAGATGATTAGGTAATTTAGCTTCACAGTATAGGCTTATTGTGGCAGGGGTGGCGGCCAACTTTTAAGGCAACTTCATGATTTAGCAGAGGCTGAATCAAAACTTGCAATACATCAAAGAAGGCTATCTGACGTTGAGGCAAAGGTATGCCCTGAGTGAATAAACTAGACAATGATAATCTTGTGATATTCATGGAATTATATAGTAGGCATATTACAGGCGTGTTTGGTGGAAGCATTAAACTCTTTACCATTTAGTGTTTGATACTGTTAACCTAGTTTCTGAAGTGAAACTTATTAAATCTCCATATTGAAGTCATCCCTTCTGTGATACAAGCTGCCATATATTTCCGCCTTGTTTCATGCAATTTGTACGCAGTGGTTGGCACCTGTTTCTGCTTAATAGATGGATAGAAGAATAGATAGGTAGACAGTCGAGAAAGAAGGGAGAGAAACTGACTCAATCCAATCTTCCGAAAGCCTGATTACATTCTATCTAAAGACCACTAATTTATAGCCATGGTTATTAACAACTTACCCCTCTAAATACTTAACTACCCTTGATTGACTCCCTCATTTATTTATAACTGCGTATTTATGGTCATGGTCATTAACAATTGTGAGTAATGATTTTATTTTTGAAAGATTATTATGCATTTATGAGAGCATAATCACTATATTATGCTCTAATAGTTTGTAAAGACTAGTTAATATTGATTGTTATCGAGGGTTCTTTGTGGATTGTTTGATTTTTGGTGATCTTGTGTAGTCTTGTTACCTTAGTGTGCTGACTTATATACGAACTCAGTTTGAGGATATTTCTTTCTTTTCTTAATTGGCTTTCTATCTTGAAATAACAGATTACAAAGCTTCTTCCTCTTGAGAAGAAATGGAAAGACCTCAAAACACAGTTGGAACTTAAGTCATATGATCTTTCATTGTTTCAAAGCAGAGCTGAGCAAAATGAGCATCATAAGGTTTGGCTTTTTCCTTTCATTACAGAAATTGATTCATAAAGGCTGTGATTTTACCTTGATTCCGTTTTATTGTAAAATTTTTAATTTTCCTCAATGTTATTTATCTTTCTCACTTCGCTTCCTCTCTACTTTTTTGCCTTTGTAGCTTGGGGAACTAGTGAAGAAGCTTGAGCAAGAACTTGCAGAAGCAAAATCTGCAGTCAAGGAAAAGCAAATTATTTATGAAAACTGTGTCAAGACTGTTTCATCGCTTGAGAAATCAATTAAAGAACATGATAATAATCGTGAAAGTAGGCTAAAAGACCTGGAGAAGAAGATAAAGTCATTCAGATCCCAGATGCAGTCATCTTTAAAAGATCTTAAGGTTTGTTTAAAGTTCCAAAGGTTTATGATTATTGTTTGTGACTTCTTTGAGTTAAACTATCTATCTTGATTTATCCCAAGTCTCCGTCCAATGTCCTCAAAGAGTTGCGCTTTTGGAACTTATGCTTGGAAGTCATTAATTCAAAACTGGCCAAGTGGAAGGATGGGGTTTACGCTGACCAATAAGTCTAGTAGTTTTAGGCAACTTGTGATTAATAAAGAAATGGAAGAACATATCTCAGCATTTGAATTTCAGATGAATGGGGAAGTAATAGGAAGTTGAGATGAGATTTTAATACTTTTGTTTTTCTCCCGATAAAGATGGCTGTTAAAATAATCTCTGCAGCAATTATTACTTGATGGGTTTTGTAATGCCTCCTTACATGATTTTGTTTGATGTTAGGGACATGATAATGACAAGGAGAGACTTGTAATGGAAATGGAAGCTGTTATTCAGGAGCGTGTGTCCTTGGAAAATCAATTAACTTCATTAAGGACACAAGTTCATAATCTTGAATCAGAAGTAGAAGAACAAAAAATAAAGGCAAGTATTGCGTTTATTTTGGTATGTTCTTTGTTCTCTACAGATTAATTTGTGTCCTTACTCTTCTAAATTGTAGGTTGCTGCTGCAAGGACCGATCATGATCGGGTTCATTCAGAGCTAAATTCAGTTCGCCTAAAAATGAAGGAATGTGACATGGAAATAAGTGTTATCATGAAGGAGCATAAAGTACTTGAACAAAAACTCAGTGAAAATAATCTTGAAAGGAAGAGAATGGAGAATGAGGTACTTGTTTTAAAATCGTTTTCATTACACCTTTAAAAATCATATGCTAAACAACTTTCCTACTCTTCAAGGTAAAACGGATGGAGATGGAACAAAAGGACTGTTCGGTCAGGGTAGAGAAACTGATAGAGAAGCATGCATGGATTGCTTCTGAAAAACAGCTGTTTGGCAAAAGTGGGACTGATTATGATTTTTCTTCTCGTGATCCCAGTAAAGCAAGGGAAGAACTTGAGAAGCTACAAGCTGAGCAGTCTGGGTATGGGTCTTTGAGAATCTGTCCTTTATGTTACTAGAATTGATCCACACCCTTTCGTACTATTGCCTTCCATGAAACAAAATAATTTTCCCCTTGCTCCCTTATGAAGGCTTGAGAAAAGGGTGAACAAGAAAGTCATGGCGATGTTTGAGAAGGCAGAGGATGAGTATAATGATTTGATGTCCAAGAAAAACATAATTGAGGTTGTTTACCCAGTCTGTTTCAACAACCTTATACCTGTCTTGCATATATTCTCATTCTGTTATTATCTTGCTTAGAATGACAAGTCTAAAATCAAGAAGGTGATTGAAGAGCTAGATGAGAAGAAAAAGGAAACACTAAATGTTACCTGGGTTAAAGTCAACAAGTGAGTATACTTTGCAATTGTCTAGTTGAAAGATTTATCTGATTGCCCTCTTCTATATGAAGCCGGTTAACTCTGATATTTTTGTTCTGTTTGTTCAGGGACTTTGGATCCATCTTTTCTACTTTGCTTCCGGGGACAATGGCGAAGTTAGAACCTCCGGAAGGTTGCAGTTTTCTTGATGGTCTTGAAGTTCGCGTTGCATTTGGGAGCGTGTGGAAACAGTCCCTCTCAGAACTAAGTGGTGGTCAACGATCACTCCTCGCACTTTCTCTGATTCTCGCACTGCTTCTTTTCAAGCCTGCTCCAATTTACATCCTTGACGAGGTATGCTTCACATGAATTGTTTATAGCTTTTACTCGCCTAGACCTAGTTGACATGGGTTGCTTGAATATTCAAAGAGACCATAATACTGGCAATTGGTTTGGCCTGTAATATTTGCCATAGACAGAAAAACTTGAACCTATTGGTGTTTGGAATTTGAAAAAAAAAAAAAAATTAAAAAGAAATAACAAGAAGACTTGAATCCGAATTCCGAATCATTTTATTAGACGAAGAAGAAATGTGAACAAGGCTAGGATTTTCCGCTACAGAGCAAGATCATCAATAATTCTTTTATTTATAATTCTATAGAAGTGGAAATTCCAAGAATAATACTTATTTTTAATTATTATAAAATAAAAATGGGAACATTATGCAAAGTATATAACTGGTAAACATGAGGGGAAGAATCTGAAAAAGATTTCCCAATCCCCTGGCTCCAAAGCCGTGAGGAAGAGCCGTTTCCAACTTCAAGGGAAATCAAAGTTAAAATGGATGTGCTTAAGATATAGCCTTCTAGGGAGTTGCATGGATAGCCTTGATCGCATTCTTAGCGTCCCGAATATCCAGTGAACTCCACCTGCCATGCGCCATAAAGAATCAGGCTCCAGAAGAAACTGGCGGCCATTTAGCCAAACCCATTTGCTTTCTCATTTCACTATCCTTAACTGCTTCATTTGCTACCAACAGAAGAAAAAAGGGGAAAAAAAGAGAATATTTCCATGTCCTGCTACAAATGCACTTTGGTCTGAACATAACATTAGAAATTCCATGTTTTGAAATTTTGATCGTACCATCTTGGAGTACTTCTAATTTTTGCCCCTTACATAATGCTTGTGCTTGTGCAGGCATAATTCGTTTTTGTTTCTTTTATGTTTGGTTTCCCGCGACTCTTAATTTTGCACCTGTTATTATTTTAGTTATACTAATTGTTGAATTGGTGGCAGGTTGATGCGGCACTTGATTTAAGCCACACACAAAACATAGGGAGAATGATAAAGACCCACTTTCCTCACTCCCAGGTAATACGGTTGATGGAGGCGCTACGGTATCAGTTTTCTTTATTTCATGCAATACTTTCCGTTTCAATTTCAAGAAACTCCTTGAGATTTACATCATAAAATTTTTGTTGTTGAAATCACCGAAGGGGAAAAAAAAAAGAAGAGAATCTTGTGAGGGGTTCAATGTTTATTCCCCTGAATTTACACTATAGCACAACCCCACCATGTATATTTCGGCTTGCCACTCTTTTTCGCACCTACTATGCACCCAAAAGTTTGCATGACGGTATATCTTCATTTTGAGATATTAATTCTTCAAAGGACATGATAATCGGATAACTGATAAGATATGACAATAAACTCAAGTGGAGTATCAAATATGTGGATGTTGTTGATTCTTATTTTTTGTTCACATCATGAGGGCTGAATTCTTGACTTTTGCCCACCCCACCCTTTCAAATCCTCGCTACCTGAGCTAGCTTTAGGTGGTAGGGTGTTGCTGATTCTTATCAAATGTATACAAACAATCACGTGTAACCAGACACATCTTCCTCTCTTCCTCTATGTATCCATGCATGTGGAAGTGTAACCATGTCTCTTTATGTTCTTTGGTTTGCAGTTTATTGTGGTTTCACTGAAGGAAGGGATGTTCAATAATGCAAATGTTCTCTTCCGGACAAAATTTGTGGATGGTGTCTCAACGGTTCAGCGAACTGCAACAGCTAAGCAGAGCAAGTGATATATTGAGGGTACTAGTTTGCATTCTATAAATCGTCTCTACTTATAACATGAGAAATTGAGTTTTAGTTTGATCTGTTGAAGATAAATACCTTTCCTTGAGAATAGGAAGATAGTGGGGGTCTTTAGTTATTTGATTTCGTAAACTATCCATTCTATTAGATGACCCGGATAGAATGATTATCCATAATCCTTAAACAATCCATCTGCTAAATCATTCCCCTAACCTACAACCCTGCAGAAGTATTGTCGAATGAATAGGATTAAATTTAGACCAATTTTTAATGGATTTTATGCATGGAATATGGATATTCTTAGGATACATCCACTGCTGGCCAAGTTAAAACTGCCTACTCACATCTTCTTAAGAAGGCAAACTTTGTCTGATCTTCTTCCTAATTAAGAGTTAAGACCATAGCTATGTTATTTCAATTCTGAATCATTGTGGACATAATTTTTATTTTTCATGTGCATGTCCATTTGTTCTTTGGTGGGTTCAAAAACCCAAAACATGAAGAAAGCGACAAGAGAATAGGAGTTTACTAGAATTGTTATTTGATTTTCGATGTCTATTTCTCAATTATGAACCGCTTTGGGCGTTCATATGATCAAATTTCAGATTAACTATATATAATAATATTAATGCATACTCTCACTACCGGATAATTTGTACTTCTGATTTATGTTCAGATGGACACCTGTAGCAATTGAAGCCCTGTGATGTGAAGCTGTGTATAGAAGCTAGAAAGGACAAAACATGTTTGAACCAGTGTATGTAATGTTATTATACATTTGAATGCTCAGTTAATCTGTATAAAATTTGTATGACCCAGGACATAAAGCCTCCTTATGAGAGAGTTTATTTATGTTGCCTAATTTAGTTCTGGGTCCTCCTGTTTCTCAATGTTACTCTAGAATCTAGAGAATTGTTTCGATGTAATGGGAGATGCATTATTATATCTAAATAAGTGGGTAATGTTATTTTCAACGAACTCATCATCAAGTGATTGGGAAAAAAAAAAAAGGTCCGTCACTTCATGTTTAAGTTGCTTCTATTTCTGATCAATTTGTAGATTGAATTCCTCAATAAAAAAATATTTAACGGTTTCTAATGTGAACCAATATTTATGAAGACTAGTTTTGCATTGAGGCTAATAATGTGAGGGTATTGTGTGATTTTTCTTTGACAATCTTGTTCGTTCATTTACTTCAACTTGGAGCATCTTCCGTTTCAAAGATCAGAATTGAGATTAGGGTGAAAGAATCGTAAATTTGTTACGGGCTTACCGCAGCAGGTGCTTTTATCTAATCTATTTAAAATTGAGACAAAGTGGTTGGAATAAAATTAATTTAATTAACATGAGTAAAATAGTATCACCTTTGTTGTGTATTGGTGCCGCCGGTCATCCCATGTTCTGTGTCTGTCCTCTCCTTGCAGTATCTTGTTCCGTTCAAAAAATCATAGTAAAAACTATATAAATTAGCCAAAAAAATTGGCAAAGGAGAAATTTTTTTTTGTAATATTGAGAAACAAAAAATTAACAAACTTAAAATGTTTAATAAAAAAATCATATAATCCATACTGAACAACTTGTAAACAAATAATCAAAAAATAATTAATAAATAAGGTTATTTAAAAATTAAATCAAAATTGCCATAATACTATTACATTTGTAAATCAAATAAACTTACAAAAATTAGAAAGATGTTTCTAAGTATTGTATAAAAATTAATAATACTCATTGTTTTCTCTCCTAATTCTTGTCTTGTTATTCTTTTTCTACCCTCTAACTTTTTTATTTTCATAACACGTTAGTAATATGAGTTTGTTCTGAAGATTTGAGATATAAACTCTTTGTAAATTAATATATTATTATAGTATATGACAATATTTTATACTAACTTCTCCTCGCTCAATTATTCTTTTTATCTTATTATCACGTGTAATTTTAATTTTTTTTTATATATTTGCTATATAATATGTTGTTCTTTTATGTTATTTATTAATTTATTCTTTCTATACATTTTAATTCTGTTATCTCCCTATTGTGATATTGTGTTATTTATTTTATTTATTTTTCAATATTTCTTGTTCCATTGTTGTTTATGTATACCTATTTGGTTTATATTATGTCATTTTATATCTATCACAATATTATATATATGATTATATAATGTTGTTTATATTTGGGTTTATTTGTTATTTATATTTGATTATGAATTTGAATTTATTTAATTTCTTTCATTACAATGTTATTTTTATTTTATTTTATTGAATGGCCAGAAACCATAATACTTTTGATCTTGTAATTAGATGTATCACGTTTAGAATTGCTCTTTCGCAAAAGAGCCTTTAAATGGCATGACAAGAAAAATCTATGGTACTTTAATAATATAATGATGACAAATATCAAAGTCTTAAGTTATATGGTGACAAATATCAAAGTCCCGGAGGCTAATGATTCAAACATCAAATGGCATAAAAGAGGTTTATTTGAAATATTTTTGCTATAATCCCAAAGACCAATGTTTAGAGAAATTGATTGTATAACATTGAAAGCAAGGAACTTGTCTATAAGTATGACAAAGAACATGACCACATTGTATAGGTGGAATTAATAATTTAAGGGTAATAATCTTTAGTCTTGGCTATTGAACCATAATTGAGGAGACAGTGATACTTCTATAGTCAAAAATAATTATGGACAAATATTATAATATGACCAGAGGTCATATGAACAAGTATATCTATTGGAGATAAATGTTAAAATCGGTTATGAAACCAAAAGATCAAGAGATATTATGAAAAGTATAAAACATAGTTATAATACCCAAGGCAATGTCTTGTGAAAAAATATGTTTAAATTAGTCAAAGCTGAAAAATGTAATCATAAGCTCACAAGGCGATAACCAGAAAGTTATATAATATTACTTTAAATTTCTTGTGATTGATTGGTAGAAACATATTATTATAAGTATTTGATATTAAAATATTAATAAATATTGCAAGAGTGGTATGAAACAAAATATATTAAAAAGTAACTATTGTTCCCTTTAAAATATTTATTTATTGTGCCAATTTATTTGCATATTTAAGAATATGAAATGAAATATAAATATAATTTATTCTCATATTAATAGAATAGCCTAAAAGATGGTCATATTATGATATTGATATTTTATTGTGCCATTTGTGTGCAAATTAAAAAAAATGATATATTATTCATATCTCCTTCATTTATACCCTATTTATATGATCATATTTAATATTAATTTGAATGATTTATTATGATTTATTGATAATAAATTTTATTATTAGTATTTGAAGTTATTTTGAATTTGACTGAATAAGAAATTAGTTGAGAAAAAAAATTAAGCCTTCATATAATATGTAAGTATTTTTCCAAATGACATATTTTGAGTGTTGCAAATTAAATAAATGATATATGGTATCTTGATTATTGTTGAGAAATTCTAAACAATACATTCAATTTTACACTTTATTCTCAAAAAATTTATTTTAAAAAATAATTTACATTTTATGTTTCTTTTAACTATATGAGTTTGCTTATGAAAAAAAATTAAGCATGCACAAATGATAATTATAATTTTAAGAAAACTTTATGGATGTTGGATTAGTTCAAATATCATTTAATCTTTAAAGTTGTCAATATTTTGACATACCATAATAAAAAATTAGATATTTATATTCCTCTATTCTTACGTTAAGAGGTATGTTAATTCTTAATTCTTTTTTGAAATGATAAATCATTGGTCTTATATATTGAAATTAAATTATTCTCACTGTGACATTTGAAGAAAAATAAAAATTATATATTTATGTCACATTTGAGTTGAGAGAATAGAAATTTATTTAATTTTATGAGAAAATTTATTATAAATAGTGATATTGATCTTGATTAGCTGGACAAAATTATTTTTATAGCATGTGTAAACTTTATGTACATTGCAAGTTAAATCTATGATATCTATAACTATTCATTATTATCTATTATGATGCTATTAAGATGAATTTGTCTCCTCATTCTTCTCAGACTATATTGTTCTTGAAAAACTATGTGTACAAATATTAATATAGTTCTTGAAGAACTAATATAAATTTTTTTATAGGCGGACAAAGAATTGATGATGAAAAATATGACCAACTGATCTACATCAGAACTTCGATTCTCTAAAGGGTTGAAAAAGTAATAGCCCAATTAAATTAATACAAGTGTGAGTTGATGTTAGATAGAGTTTTACTTATATAAGAAATTTGTTATAGTAAACCAGAAGTTTACTTGCCCAATTAGATTTATCAACTAGATTTATAGTTGGTGTGTCTTGTTTGATCATCATGAATAATATATATGATGTAACAAATTATTAATGATTATTATTGATATCCATCAAGGAACCAAAAGATTCTTCATTAAAAGACAACATATTATATGATTCAAGAGTTCATATAGTTCTTGTTCTCAAAGAAAAATTGATTATGTTGATATCACTAGTTATGATGTGGAATAGATTTCTACATTTATGGAAATATATCAAAATTAGATATATGGGCCCATACTGATAGCATGCAAACTATACAAGTATTTAATAAATTTGACAGATGCATCTATAAAAATGGTTACATATGCTATTATTAGGTTGCAACCTGAAGTTTCAAGACTAATTGAGTAGATCATATATATGTTGAGTGCATATTTCTAGAAAAAGTGCGATCCAGAAAATTCCTATTGTAAATGCTAGTGAGTTTATATATTAGCTTTTGAATGATTATCATATATTTATTAGAAAATTATTGAAAGACCTAAATGATCTAGTAGAATAATTTATTAAAGCCCCTAGGAGTAGTTAGATCAATACTTTGAGAACAAGATCTTCATTTCAGTATTGACACATTTGGTTTGATATTTTATAGTACTTACACATATCAAGTCAACAAATTCTCCCAATAAAATTAGTTTTTAGTTAGGAGCCAAATATTTCCATCTTAAAAGTTTAAATATACAATATTTATTACTATCAGCCCACTACCATGCACATAAATGGATATTTAAAAAAAGTTGGGATATATATTGAGTAAAAATCCCCTTGTCTCTAAATGAAATGAAAGGATGTTTCTAAATGAAACAAATAAATTTATGAGACTTATATTATATGATTAATTGATTGTTATTTGACAAAGTTTTTTCAACAAACATGAGGGGGGAAAATTAAGGAGCTGGAAAAGATAACATATAGAATGCACTATTATTATCAAGTATAGATCCTCAGATATTTCATGGTATGAACCAGAAGTTCATCAAAGAATGCATTCATGTTACAAAATATCTTTCAGATGCTATTACTGACCCAAGTGAGTATTACTAAATCTCATATTCCAGCTAAAAATACTCCAATTAGTATAAATAAAAGTGAGACATGCCTGAGAGATTAATCGGTTCAAATATAATTATATCAGATAAAAAAGAGCATGAAATTTAGAATTCATATTAAAAAAGCATACTTTAGAAGAGTGCTAAGACATAGTTAATTAAAAAAAAAACCTAGAAGAGGTTCAAGTACCTGAAAAGTAATGAAGAGATCTTAATAAGTTATATCACAAGAGGAAAAATAGAACAAAAAAGATAAAGTTGTTGACAATATTTTTGATAATAATATCACATTATTTCAAAGAGGATCTTATATGAAGATAGAAATTTGGTCAAAAGCAAAAAGGAAAAGTAAAAGACAAAAGACGCAATGAAAATATGATTATATTATTTCAATATACGAAAATTATGCACCTGCAGTCCAAACACATGAAATACAAAGTTATTATGTGACATATGAATATTTGTGTAAAAATAAAGGATTTCATAAAGGTCTAGTGATTATGATTATTTATAGTATTTTGTGGTGGATGCAATAATTTTTGCACTTATTACTAGTCTGACAGTATATGAAAAATGAAATATGTTTTTGTTACATACTGTTACAGCCATGTAGCTTGCTAAATAATGAAGTTTACATTAGAATTTTTGAAGGATTTAAAATGCCAGAAGCATATATATATAAAAGAAAATCATTCAATATTTAAAATATTATGTTAATTAAGATAATCTGAGTATACATATTTAGCTCAGAAAAATATATTAAAAAATAAATAATTCTGTGTCCTAGATCAAGTTTGAATGCATTAATGATTGCAAAATATGTGATTTTTGTTATGATAATTTTGTCTGCAAAATATATTTAACTAAATAGGCTAGAAGTCCTATATATTTATTCTATAATAATATCTACGTACATTGTCAATCTTACGTGTTATAATTTTATTGATAAATTTAAGTTTCGGTAGGTATATATATGAATAACGAAATTGAGATTGAGTATGATAGTTTTATGAAACTATTATATGATATCATTTTGTTCAAATTAAATTAATCATATCGACGCAAGATATATTATAGTGTTTTTCAGAATAACCTTTCTTGCAATTGCCTCAATGCAAGTGAAGAATAAATTGACAATTTCACATTTACAAAGGATATGTTAGAGGAATACATTTTAATATAAGGTGATGACAACATATCATGCATAGTTCAGCTGAAAGGAAGATGTGCTTGAAAAAGTATTGGATGGCTTGAGAAATTAGTATACTCTATTGTGATAAAATGATAAAAAGTAATGCTGTTGACGGGGAGTAAAAGTGATGTTGTCATTTCAGGAATTAAAGATCATGCAATACTCTTTTTTCTTAGCCAATATTTTGTCCCATGGGGTTTTCCTTGTTAGGGTTTTAACGAGGCAACTCCAATATATATTGTGTACTTTTTTTTCTTCATCAGGCTTTTGTTCCAATGGGTTTTTTCTAGTAAAATTTTAATGAGACACAATATTTATTCTAGACATCCAAGGGAGAGTATTATAAATATTGTATATATATGGATGTCCATAACCCTCAACTCTTAGAATTTTTCATAAGATTCTTGATTTTTGAATGTTCTAAACCCATAACCCCCCAATAAATGACTTAAGAGGAGTTTTTCATATTTATTGTCATTATTTCCTTATTCATTTCTTTATAATCCTTTGATTAGGTTTTAATGGTTGGGGGCCTATAAATAGAGGCCATATACAAGGTATTTGTACCAATGTATGAGAAATACTTTTTGTTTTTTCTCCTAATTCTTGTCTTGCTATTCTCTTTTTACCCTCTAACTTTCTTATTTTTATAACAAAAGAAAGATAATATATTAGAACGGGTCCTAAGACACCCTTATCCTGTGTCCTGTCTTGTCTTAAAATGATTAGGATGAGATTCTCATGTTTCAAAATGGCTGGAACCCCTGTGAGAGGCTCAGCAATCCACCTTGGAGGGAAGGTGTCGTTTATTTTTATAAAATTTTAAGTAAGGTTATTTTAGTAATTGAACATAGAAACTTGTTTACACTTGGGGATTCCGTGACTTCATTCTATTGGTTTTGGGCTCATGGTAACTAGGTCGATTTTCCTGTTTAGTTTTTGCAGATGACTCTCAAAAGAACAATTCAATTTAATAATAGCATGTTTTTCAATAAGAATTTTTTAAACATGAATTATAAATATTGATTAAGACAATTATAAATTTAGAGATTCCAACTGTAAATAAATATAAATCCAATTTTTAGTTTATAGCTGAGATTTTGTTCATAAGATAATATTTGGAGCCCTTTTTTTTTTTTAAAATTTAACTGCATTAAATTGACATCTCGAGACTTCAACACAATTTTTTTAGCAAAATTAGACGCCTTACCCCGTGCGCTGTACGGGTGAACTAATAATAGTTCAATCACTAAAATTTAAATTTAAAAATGCACATTAGCTATATTTTTTAAAATATGCCAAACATACAAAATTGTTAAAATACTCATCACAAATTATAATTGTCAATCTTTGTGTCAATTGTCGTCATTGCCAATAGTATAAGAAACTATACTAGTTATGTTCAGGGGGCAGGATCGATGGATCTTTAAATATAAACGACAATGTGATAATACATATGTAATAAATTTAGTATAATAATCATATGTGATGTTGACATACAACATCATCAATTATTGAGATAATTATTTCTTGAAAGAACCATACTGTCATCATTATTTAATGAACATATAAATTATAAAAACACATCTTTCTTTCAATTTATAACATGTGTCACTTTAATCAGAACCAAAAAAAAAAGTAGTTATTATTCTCAGAGTGATTTATATTTTGAATGAATCATACCAGAAACAACTTATATTATGCACTGGGGAGAGTATATGCTTGTTACTGTAGTCTATGTTATAGATTTTAAAAATTTTTTCCTCTATGAGTAAAGAAACTAGAGAGTCCCTGAATCATATAAAAACTTTCATCGATGTCCCCCTAAAAAATATCACTTATTACTATTTGATTTATCTAAAGTATCACCTATTGGTATATTTTAACCTTAAGATATAGCTTTCTTGCATAATAATCCTAAGAGTAAATTATATAGAACGTATAAAATATAAAAAATATATATATTATTATTAACACAATCACATTGACATAAGTATACGAATATTACCTTCCAACTTTCTTTTCAATATCAAATTCCACACCCTACCATAATTGAAACCAAATTTTCCATCCCCCTTCCGTCAAGGCTGGTTTATACTTAATCTTTGAAGCCTCCTGAAACTCTTCCCAAAAAAATTCACTAATGTATCTATTCAGATCACAATTAAATTGGTTAATAACAAATCTGTCTCAAAAAATTTCTTAATGATTAATCTTTTCCTTACCTAATATTCCTACCAATCAAATGGCCAAAAAATGTTTCTACTTATCTCCTAAAGTTGAAAATATGGGCAAGTATCGCAGGCCTAGAAATATTGCGATTTGTGCTTGTTGAAATTAATCAGTAATCAAAGAAATAAGAAAAGACACAAAATAGGGCTATCATTTGTTGATATTAGTTTTAGATGCTTGTGTGATTGAGTACTAAAAATCAATCTCTTCTACTAAGACTAGCAAATGATATAATTGAGTCATGACCTTGGACAAAGAAATAGGTTTCGTTAATACCCACTTACAAATTAAACTCTTGAACCATCAACCAACAGAAGACTATTCAAGTACGAATTGAGAAAACACACTCATAAGAAGAATGAACCCATATAATTCAAAAAAAATGAGATTATAAGCTATTTAATTAAGTCCTCACTTTAGTATATAAAATATGTAATACACCTATCAGAGTTAATAAATTGAGGATAACTCGGTTGTTATTAAAAGCAATTTTTTTTTTGGCCAAAACAAAGTCCATCATATTAATATATCAAAAAAGATTACACATGCTAACAACCAGAAAGAAAGCAAAGAAACGAACCGAAGGAAGTAAAAAAAGCAACAATAAGCACAAAAAAAGGAAAGCAAAACGCAAGCCTAGGATACAACCTAAGACAAGAAACGCAAGCCAAGTAACCTATACCTTCCCTATCAGCCGAGGAAATGCCAGCACTTTCCAGGTCCTGCAACAGAATTGACCTTAGAGAGGGTGGTGGAATGTCAATCCACCCTTGCGGTACCACACCCCTCATTGCCCAAGCTGCAATTCTATCAGCAGCATTATTGCCTTTACGTGAAACCAAAGACAAAACCCAGTTGCAGTCAACCCTTCCCAGCTCCAGGCACTTCAGTAATAAATCTGTACACCTTCAGTCACAGTTCAAAACCTCTTCATTTTTCAGACACCTGTACAACTCCAAACAATCAGTTTCTAAAATCACCATGTCTCCACCAAATAAATCTTTAGTCTTAAACGCTTCCAGCATGGCCCAACACTCAGCCATAAAAGCAGACCGGGCATTAACCTTTAAGCCTACCCCCCTTAAAAAATTTCCTTCTCTATCTCTACCAATAACACCTATACCAGCAGAGCCACCCTTTGCATCAAAGGCACCATCCACATTAATTTTTACAGAACCTTGGCTTGGCTTCTGCCAAAAAAAATTTCTAACAAAATTCTGTACATCCATCAGTCTTTCACTCCTTCTACTTACACAGCCCCAAAATTCATTAGTCAGTCTGATCGCTATTTGAAGGCATTTCACAGCATCCACCTCCTCTTTTTCAAATAGAAAGCAGCATTTCATCTTTCAAATCTGCCAACAAATACAAGCAAACAGAGTAGTACTAAATTCATCAGCCCCAATTTTATTAGCGATCCATCCCTCAAACCATCTGTCAAATCTCACCATGACTCTTTCATCAAACATCAGCGCCAAGGGGGATCCAAACCAACACATCCTAGCCCAAGGGCACAGGAATAACGCATGCTCTATTGTTTCCATCTGTGATTTGCAGATTCCACACATGGGGCTACAGGCACATTTCCTTCTGTATAAAGCGTCAGATGTAGCCAAAGCATCATTGAAAGCCCACCAAAGAAAATGGATGACTTTTGGAGGAGCTTTAATTTTCCAAAGACTGTTCCACAACTTATTATTCACTCTGTAAGAGCAGCTCGGGACATCCTCATTGGAGTCCATTGCTAAGTCTCTAGCCATTTTATATCCTCTTCTAACAGAATACACTCCATCTTTGCTTCCCATCCACACATATTTGTCGTCCTCCTCAATAAAGGGGATTCGAACTTTGGCTATCAATTTCTTATCTTCATCTGAGAGCCAATGCTCTACCTTCTCAAAACACCATTGTCTATCCACAATAATATCTACCACCTTCATATTACTCATCTCATCAGATAACACCCTTTGCCTCAATTTAAATTCATTAGCATCAAGTAGCCATCTACCTTCAAACAAGCTTACTCTATCCCTTTTATTTATCTTCCGAACCAGCTTCTTCTTTAACAAGTCCCTACTCTCTAGAATGCTTGACCAGCACCAAGACACTTTATTTTCTCTCTTAGCCTGCATAAAATCCTTATCATTAAAATAGAGGCCTTTCAGTATCCTGCTCCATAGCTCATCCTGTCCTTGGCGCAGCCTCCAAGCAGTCTTTGCCAATAAAGCATCATTAAACATCATAAAGTCATGAAATCCCATTCCTCCATTCCCTTTATCCTTACTCATATATCTTCAGGATTTCCAGTGAATTCTCCCCTCCTCCTGCTTTTGTCCCCACTAGAATCTGGCTACCAAACTATCAAACTCCTTGCATACTTTCTTAATGAATTTGAAACAGGACATGGGAAAAATAGGGATTGAGTTTGCTACTACCTTTACCATGATCTCTCTCCTTGTAAAGGTCAACAACCTTTGCTTCCATCCCTGCATCTTTGAGCTCATCTTGTTCTTCACAAACTTCAAAGCCTTTGCCTTTAACTTGCCCCACAGTATCGACAGACCCAAATATTTACCAGGATCATCAGAAGTTTTAATTCTCAAAACCTCAAAAACTTCATTTTTCACCCTTTCAACTGTATTCTTGGAAAAGAAGATACAAGATTTGTCCAGATTGATTGTTTGTCCAAACGCTTCAGAGTACACCTTAAAAATTTCCATTAACCTTCTGCAGTTACTACTTTTGGCATTGATAAAGAAGAGTGAATCATCAGCAAAGAAACAGTGAGAGAGAGGGCATTGTTTCGCAAGTTTAATCCCTCTCAACAAACCCTTATCAACATGCCATTGCACCATTAAGGACAAAGCATCAGCTGCAATGATGAATAGTAAAGGGGAGAGTGGGTCACCCTGGCGGATTCCTCTCTTCATTTCTATTTCAGCAATTTTTTTCCCTCCTACCACAAGATTCACCATCATAGATCTCACACAATCCATTATCCATTTGAGCCATTTCTCACTGAAGCCCATCTTCCTCATGACTTCTTTAATAAACTTCCACTCTAATCTATCATATGCTTTATTCATATCTACTTTTACTGCCATTTCATATTTTCTACCCTTTTTCTTGTTTCTCAGATAGAGATAAGCTTCATGTGCCACTATGATATTATCTTGTATCAACCTTCCCTTAACAAAAGCTCTTTGATTCTGGGAAATGATTCGAGCCAGTATAGGTCTCATTCTATTAGCTAGAATTTTCGACACAATTTTATAAGCAAAATTACATAACCTAATCGGTCCAAATGGCCCCACACACCCAGCATTTTCTACCTTTGGAATAAGCACCACATTTGTTTTATTTAAAGCAGACAAACTAGCCTTATTGTTGAAAAAGTCTAGAACCATATCAGTCACCTCATTAACTACAACTGGCCAAGAAGAATGATAAAACATTCCAAAGAAACCATCTGGACCTGGTGCTTTTGCACCCCCCAACTGAAATGCTGCTTTCTTAATTTCTTCTTTCGTGACTGCTACCTCAAGGCTTGCACTTTCTTCCTCCTTGACCAGTCTCTAAACAAAATTCAATACCACTTCTATGTTGTTGCAACCTTCCGATGAAAAACAATTTATTGTAAAACTTCATAAAGGATCTGTTTATCTCCTCTTCACTCTCAAGCCAAACCCCTCCTTCTCCTCTTAACTTCACCACCTTATTTCTCGCCCTTCTTTGGATAGTGGATGAATGGAAGAATCTTGTATTCCTATCTCCAACCTTCAGCCATTGAACTCTTGATCTCTGCCACTAGTAAGCCTCTTCCCTATCCCACGCTCTCTCAATTTGATTAATAAGTTCCTCCATTTCCTCCTTTTTGGTTAAAGTAAAGTTCCCTTTCCTACATTCTTCTAATCTTAAAGTCAAACTTTGTATTACTTTACGAGCATTAGGAAAGGTTCTACTTCCCCAATCAGAAAGAACTCTTATAGTTTTCAAGCCTACAAATCAATTCCTCCACCTTGTCTCTACCCAAAACATTACACTGCAGCTAGCCTTCTTTAACTATTTGCAAATAATCTTTGTGTTCTAGCCACACTGCTTCGAATTTAAAGGATCTATGGGTTCAAGTATGCTTGAATGCACAATCAACAGCAAGCATATGGTGGTTTGATCCCATTGGCTATACATGCAACACCAAAGTTGATTGAAAGTTTCCTCTGAATTCCACATTCCCCACTACCCTATCAATTCTTTCTTTCACATGATCTTCCCCTAGTATTTGATTGCACCACGTGAAGCGGGCACCAGAGTAATTCAAATCCAAAAGAGCACAATCAGATAACATGCTCTGAAAACTCATCATTCTCCTAATATCCGCTGGCCACTTCCCTTCCTTCTCATACACAGAGACCAGATCATTAAAATCCCCCATACATAGCCAAGTACCCTGCACCCCATTTGCAATACTTCTCATCTTCCTCCAAACCTCCTCCTTCTCTTCTGCCCGTGGTGCACCATACACATACGTCACATACTCAGGTACTTCATGCACAACAGAATGAATACTTGTATGGATAATGTTCTTTGAGCAATGCCAATTGTTAATAGTCACATCCTTCTTCCACCAAAGGGCCAATCCACCACTTCTTCTAATCAATTCAACATACATTTCTTCATCCATGTTACATCTTTTTTTTATTTTCATCATACCAGCTTTCAACATTTTAGTCTCCATGAGGAAGATAACTGAGGGACATCTCCTCAAGTTCTCTTCCCTTAGTTTTTTCACTGTCAAGGCTCTTCCCAAACCTTGACAGTTCCATGCAAGGAAAATCATGGCCTCTTGGTGGCTGTTTGCGGCCAGCCACCAGTGCCCTTAGCATTTCCTTCAGAGCCCCCACATTCTTCTGTTTTAGAGGGGAAAGGAACCATAGTACTTAAAACAATCTGCTCCACACTCTTATTGCCTCTTGCCTTTCTCTTCAGTTTCCCATCCCTCCTTAGTCTTCTCTTCAGTGCTCTCACATTCTTTCTTTCACCAAGTACTCTACTGCCTTCCTTTCCCTTACTATCATCATCATAATGCTCAGTAAAGGTTAATCTTCTTTTTTTGAATTTCCTTTGCTCAATGTCATCAGTCATGGCTCTCTTCAAATTAATTCTTTCAACCCTTAGGGCTACTTCTGAGATTGGAGAAGCATTGCCATACACGACAATTGCCTTAGACAAACCCTCAACAATCTTTGGAGACATCAGGCCCCTCTCACATGCTCCCTTGCTATCCAATTGTCTATTAGCATTTACATCGTCTGCACCACTAGGCAATATTTTTGCTTTTTCTTGCTTCTCAACTTCACTTCCTATGCCCTTCTCATATGTTACCTCTTCAGAATTATTCCCTGCCCAACCCTCCTTACTTCTAGAATCCTCCATAGCTCCCTCTGTAGAGATAAGACTCTTAGATGCATTGCACTCATTAACCTTATCTTCCCTTGTCCCTCCTTCCTCTCTTTCCTTATCACTTCGTTGATTTTTATATAAATTTCTACATGCTTCAATTTCCTCCCACCTTTCATTGCATTCCACCATCTCGATCTTGATACTCCTTGCACCTGGAACACCTAGCCAGCTGCCATAATCCAGTTTGGAACTCCCCTCAACCTCTGTACAATTTGAGCAGTGTCTCTGATCGTGCCCAATCCTACCACAGTAATAACAGAAGTTTTGTAGCCTTTCATAATGCGCCTTCACCCATACTTTATCCTTTTCTGGACACAGAACCCAAATTCCAGTTGCCATACTTTTCCTCAAATCAACCAAGACTCGAGCTCTTAGGAAGCTTCCAACTAATAGATCACCCTGCCTGAGATTTTCTACCATCATGACCTCACCAAACACACCGCCAAGTGTAACCACATTCTCTGCATCCATGCCTTCTAGTGGAATATCATGGAATTGGATCCAGAACGGGCAATAATCAAAATAGATGTCCTTAGACACCATATAATCTTTCCAAATCTGAACATTTAGTAACATACCTTGAATTGATGAAGGTCGTCCTCGTAAGATCCTCAGATAATCATCTCTGCATCTGAACTCGAAGATAAAGGCCTTCTCGTTGATCTCAATAATCTCCATATCTTCATTGTTCTCAAGGTTCCATCCTTTTCTAATCATCTTCATTACTGTAGGCATGTTAAAACTCTTTTCTGTCATCATTTTTCCTACTAGAGCGCCTCCGTTCAACTTACGTTGCTCTCTTTTCTTCCGCACAAGCTTTACTTCGGTGTCCCCCTGCTTCTTCACGACCTCACACAAAGAAGCCATCGAATGACAACTTATCAAATCCACACTCTTCCTAGCACCAGCTCTCATGAATTCCTCCCTGTTGCAATGCGCAACAAATCGGATGCTCTTTGATTCCGTGACAGTGGGCGGCAGAATACACACTCACAAGAAAACGGCGATAACCATCGTAACTAACTCTCACAGAGGAGAGAGAAGACTCACAGGGGAGAGAAACTAATCAGACCGCTGTTATTAAAAGCAATTTGTTTTCCATGAAGCATTCATTATTTTTTTCCCCATTTTATTATCCTTGCACAACATAATTGTAAAACATAATTGCCGGCAAAAAAAGTAAAACATAATTAATTTGTTTTTCTTCAATGCATTCATTATCTCTTCCACTAATAAATCAATTAGTTATTATTATAAAAATTTATTTCTCCCAAAGTATTTATTTTGCTTTCCTTCAAAGCCTCTAGTATTTTCCCCACTTATTCCTTAATTAAATACTCGAGAATTATCACGAGAGAAATCAACTTTTTAAATTTCCACCATTATCTTTGAATAAAATAGAATCCAACTCAAGAGACACAAAAAAAAATAAAGAATTGAAGCATAACCTTCTTATGAAAATCACACTATTTTTTTTTTTGAGTTGAGAAAATCACACTATATTAATTCGTAACAAAACACATCAAAATAGATTTTCCACTATTTTACTCCCTTTGTCCCTTTTTATAAATAACTTTGGATCCCATTACATAGATCAAAAAATTAGTTAAAGATAATAAATATGTAGAAATTGAAAGCTTTTTTCCCCCAAAATACCCTCATTCATGAGGGAAAAGAGGATAAGAAGGAGAATAAAAAATTATTATAATAAAAACATTATGAAAGAGAAAGAAGATGTGATGGAGAGAGATAGTAGTCTGAAAAATAAAATAATAAATATATTCATTATTAAAATGATTAATTAATGAGGATAAAATATAAAATTTGCTACAAAAATTTAAGACAACTTGTAAATGTTGCTTATATTTAAGAACAACAGGAGAATGATAGTTATTGATTATGAAAAGGGATGAAGGGAATAATTATACATTGTACACTCAACTAATAGATTTTATTCTAAAAAAACCAGAATAGATATTCTCCGATTTCATTATATATTAATTATTCACAAAAAAAAATTATGCATTTCACTTGAGTGCCACTACGCGGTTGGTATGATTATCTGATCTGATGATCTAATGATTTAAACAATAAATATAAAAGAAAAGAAAAATATTAAAATAGATGTTTTTCTGATGTCATTGTATATTATTAGTTCATAACAAATATCAGAAAATGTAAAATTTTTTTTTAATGTTCAGATAAAGGAAAAAAATTAGGAAAATATCATGAAAAGATTCATGACCAAATAATGGGATTGGTTCATGACCTGGAAAAAAGAAACAAGCTATTTCAATACGAATGGCTCTCGAATGTCCCTCAATCAGCAAAAGGCTATTTAAGTGCCAATTAGGAAAACAAATTCATAGGAAGAATAAAACCACTCTAATGCTATATCAATTGCATGTGTAAAAAAGATTGTTTTTTTTTATTGAAATTTAAATTTCAATAATCTAAATTTTAAAAGCAGGATAACAACAATAGTATCAATCAATTAATGAAGTAACTAATAAAAAAAGTCGTGAATTACCCTCTAGTCCTCTTGTTATATGACATTTTTAGAAATAATTTTTTTTCCTAAATAATTATCATTTTTTGATATGGGAGAATTAGTTGATTTTTGGTCTAAAATAGTTTGAATTAAAGTTTAAATTTTAATAATTCAAGTTTCAAAAACAGGACAATACCAATAGTAGTTAATTTCGCCACACCAATGAATCAATGAATCAATGAATTTTCTAATCAAAAAGTCATGAACTACTCTCTCCCTCTCTCGTTCTTATTATACGATATCTTCTACAACTAAATTTTGGTTTCAAGTAATTGTTATCTTTTGGTATACATATACAAATTAGTTGATTTTTGATCCAAAATAGTTTGAATTGAAACTTAAATTTCGATAATCCAAATTTTAAAAATAGGATAAGAACAATATCAAATCGCAAATTTTTGGATTTTGTTATCATCAATATGAAAAGTCTTTCTTGCCATCAGAGATATAAAGAAAAAGCCAAGCAAGGCGCACATGCTTATCTTATTTTTCTTTAGGGTCAGATATAATGACAATCTTAAATATTTACACATTTTTAGGGATAAAATACGTGACCCATTACTAATTAAATACCCTTTAATTTAATAGCACTGAGAATTTGTACTTCTTTGAAAATGGGAATTTTTATGCATGTTTTCCATTATCTTTTGATCTTTTAAATAGAATAACACATCTTATAGATAATCCAAAATTCAATGCATCTCTAAATACCCTTTAATTTAATAACACGAGAATCTGGACTTCTTTGAAAATGGGAATTTTTATGCATGTTTTCCATACATGTTATAGATATCCCAAACTTAAATGCCTCTCTCTCTCTTAAACAGAACTTAAACGTTGATCTCCTTTTACTTGATTTTAAGGTTTTTGCATCTAGAGCAAAACTGTAAGAAAAGCTCCATATAACAAAAGGATTGGCTGCAATTGATAGTCAAAACTACTTAAACCTAAACCATATACACAGTTGCATTTTTACCGTTGGCGGGAAAAAAGTTGCCTTTTTCCCCTGGTCATCAATTTTATGAGTACGGTATTTTGTTGTTTACAATAAAATTATCCGTGTTAAGGGAAATAAGGTATATATGCAAAATAAACATCCTACAATACCACTTGGGCTTGTAATGCATGGTTAGAAAGTAAAATTGTAATAGTAGACTCCCCTTTTTTGTTTGAAAAATAACAATATAATTCAATTTCTATGACAAGTGTAATAATACATTATTTGAAATGAAAACGTGGGTGATGATTTTGATTTCAAAACATAAACAAAAATAAGCATTTGCATGTTTTAGTTGCACTTCAACTTTTAATTTATTGTTATGCAGAATAAAATAAATTTCGGTCATTAGCAAAAATCAAATAGGAAGTTTGTTTTCTCCTAAAAGCATCCACTTGAATGTCTGCAGCATATGATAGGAACACCGAAGGGCAACATAATTTGAAGTTTTATTATTATTGGCATCTGCTTATAACATATTAAACTTTCCATTACATATAACATTAATATAATTAAAAATCCTATTATTATTGGCATCGGCTTAACATAACAAACTTTCCATTACATAACAGAGTTAAACCCAAGTTTAAAAATACTCTATCTGATTCTAAATATAAGAATCGTGAAGCAAACGAAGAAGGTCCAGCTTCATTTTGTTCGGTGGATGCATCTT